GTAGATGAAGGAACATATCATTTATAGAAGCTCCATTATTTTGAAGATCATAGTTTGTGTCAAGCATGAATAGGAGCATTGTGGAATGGAAAACCTGAGCCTAGGAAATAAACTATGTGTGCAGTATATGATAAGAGTTAGAAATGTTGGAATGTCAAAAGTGGATTCCTTCACTGTGTGACATGATTCAGCTCCCTCAGTTAACCTGCCTGTTTTATTAATTCAGTGTTCTTTAGAGTCAAATAGTTTTATTTATCTATGGAGTATTATATCTTTTGACTTGGGAATATGTCAGGGAGCTGTATAAATGGTTAACAGGGTAGCTTTACTTTTTAAATTCTCAATGCTAATCTCCAGGGAGGATTCTCCATGCTGCATGTTCACTAACAGTAAATGAAACAAGAATCCCCCTATCCTTATGTAATCAGAATTGGATTTGTATTCTTGATTTTATTTATTTTAACTGAAGATAAAAATCACCATGTTGTTTAAATTTTAATTTGTATAATTACTAAAGATAAGCAGTTTGTAATTTTTCATAAATTATTTTCTCTTATTGGGAACTCATTATGTCCTAGGCACCTTTGTTTTCAAGTCAGTCATTTGTTTCCTTGAATATTTGGTTTTTGACCTCACTATATATTTGGATATTAATCTTTTTTCACATGCATATCTGGTAACATTTGCTTACATTCTTTGAGCTTGCTCATAACTGAATTGACAGCTTCCTTACCCCTACAGATGTGTTTTGAGTTTGACTTCACAATGGACAATTGTTGTCCTCATTCTCTGGGCAGGCACAGTCTTGCTCAGAAGGTCTACTTTATGTCAACATCTTAAAGGGTACTGCCAATGCTATCTTCTAGCAATTTTAGTTTTTAAGGTTTTAAATTGAGTGCCTGTGCCACTTGGATCTAATTTTGTGATGGCTGATATTCTTCTGATTTCATCATGCAGATAGCAAGGTTTATTCTAGTATTATTTGTTAATGATACGTTCTTTACATTTTTTTGCCATCTTTCTCAATATTATATAGTTTAATTTGCATATTCCTCTGCTTGTTTGTTTAATTTTATTCCATTGGTCCATTCATCTATTTTTTAAACCCACCCTTCTGTTCCCAAAAGATAGTGTTGAATATATGTACATATAACATCCCAAGCTTATTCAAACTTAAGAAAATTAAACTGTGTACAAGTAATTCCCTGTACCTTCCATAGAAGCACTAAAAATTACAAGTCCAGATGCAGTGCAGCCTGAATGAATTTACAGATAATTTATTCTCAACTTCATATGCAGAGTTAGATATGTTGAAAGTTACAAATAAAATAAAATAGGGAATAAAAATGTCTGTTGTTTATAAAGTCTACCAATGTTTTCTATCAATATCTAAAGTAAAATTTGAAAAACAGTTCTAAATAGGTTATAATATTAGATACCTTTCTAAATGTCTCTCATTTGTTTTGTAATAATGTCTTTTACATATATAAAAGACAATATAAAGTTAAGGGTTCATTCAGAATTGACACAAAATTCGAAATATACTTCCTAGAGCTGGGTGGTAGTGGCAGTGCAAGCCTTTAATCCCAGCACTCGGGAGGCAGAGGCAGGTGGATCTCTGTGAGTTGAATGCTAGTCTGGACAGGCTCCAAAATTACACAGAAAAATCCTGTCTCAAAAAAAAAAAAAAAAAAAAAAAAAAAAAAAAAAAAAAAAAGAAAAGAAAAGAAAAGAAAAAAGAAAAAGGAAAAAAAGAAAAAGAGGAAGGAAGGAAGAAATGAAGGAAGGAAGGAAGGAATAATCCCTGGGAGCTAGAGAGGTGGCTCAGCATTTAAGAACACTGCCTGTTCAGTCCTGAGTTCAAGCTCCAGCAACCACATGGTGGCACACAGCTATCTGTAATGAGATCCTATGCCCTCTTCTGGCCTGCAGGCACACATGCCGGCAGAATACTGTATATAAAATAAATAAATCTTTAAACAATTTGTTTTTAGCAATTAATCCATATATATGAGTACACAACATGGAGTAATTATAGAAACCAGGACTGTTAAGGAGACCCTAGATGTGTCTGTTGGGGGTAAATAATAGAATAAAGTTGATAGGAAATAGGAACAAGAAATAGTGGGTGGACTCGAAGTTGTGAACAAAGAGATAAAGAAGTAGGATGAATGGGAGATTAATATCACCAAAGTTTAATACAGAATCAAATATTCATATTTTATAATTACCTAGTTATACAATACATATAAAGTTACACATGCAAGCACACACACACACACACACACACACACACACACACACAGACACACATACACCAAGTTAAATCATTTGGACTAAATGATTATCAGAAGAACCACATACTAACAAACAACCTAGTACAGGATATGAGAACCTTCCTGTCAAATGTCAGTGTAGCCCATGTGACTCTGAAAACAATACAGATTATAGGTGTAGGTTTAATTACCTCTTGTGGTTTAAAGGGGTGACCCTACCGAGGAAGACATCATACTTGTAAGCTAGGATTCAGGAATTCAGATCCTTTGAGTAGGGTCATACCTAAAGTCTCCCTCCAGAATTCTTGCTACCATGCTTCCAGAAAATGTTTCGCTGCTAAAGGAAAGATGCTCTAACAAGTCATGCCCAGTTGCAATAAATAAAAGAGGACTGCCGCAGACCTCTCAGTGGGCAACGGGTCTGCGGGGAGACCAAGACTCAGATGAACAGGTCAGGAGTGGCTTCGGCTTGACAGACAGACACAAACACACTCAGGTTTGCAACTGCTGCAATTTTTACTTCAGAGCATCGGGATTTTATGCAGAAAGTTCAAAGAACAGATCTTTGGCCACAGTTTAAAGATATACACACATACTATAAAAAATGTCAGCAATTACTTTGAAGCATGAGATCGTAAATACATCTAAGCAAGTGTGTAGCCGGGAACCTTTGTTTATTTTGGCCTGATTGTGGTCAGTGTATCAGAGATTTGATTCACTGAGTTTAGGGAGTAGTCATGGCCTCTGATTAGTATACTTTTAACAGCATTGATAAGAACTCTTGTACTGTTATTAATTTAGGGGTCCTAAGATCTCAAGTTAGATCTTGTAGTAAATCCCACAGCAGCTTTGCTGCAGGTGGGCTAATTACAGGCAGGGTCATATCGTGGGATGATTCCTACAGCTTTAACCTTAATTGTTTATTTGGCCTTGGGCTAACACCTGGAGTCACAGTTGGTGCCTTGGGATTTGTAATTGAGGGCACAGAGGGCAACATCCATCTGTTGATTGGTGGTCTGTATCTCTTTCAGTTCCTGAGTGTTTTCTGGGCTTCTCTGAATTAACAGTGGAGCTACAGGCCAAAAAACCCATGATCAAAAGCATTATTGTTATCATAGCACAAAATACACCCAGCACCTGTTCCAAACATCCAGCTAAGCAAGCACCTGCAGGGATCTGGATCACTTTTCCCAGGAGGCGTAACCATGTGTGGTGCGAACCTCTGGACAGGTAGCCATTGAGATTTCTCTCAGCCATTGCTACACTGGGGCTGATGTGGCAGAGGACAATTACCAGCATTGCAAGGTATGTATAAAAGTCAATTGAGTGGCACTTGCACATCAGAGGCAACAAACAGATGTCCAATTATCCTTAAACCAACAAGGAAATCTTGCTTTGAACTGGAATTGTAGCCAATTTCTCAGGGTTAGTGAAGTCATGAACCTTAAGATAGAATCTCCTGTATCCACTTGAGTAGATAAGCCAAATTCCTAACTACATTCTGTATCTTATTATGATACACATGTAGAGGTATAGGTATCATCCCTTAATGATGAAGCCTCTCTTCATAGAAATATGAGACCACAGAAATCCACAACTGAGCACAGTACAGATCTGAAGAGAGGATAGATCGCCCCAGTCTCCAAATTTGTTATCTACATCACAGCTCCTGCACCAATAGCTCAAGGAAACTCACTGAAATTGGGGAGGCAGAGATAGTGCACCTGCAAAAATATGAGGAAGTCGGCGGTGAAACGGTATGTTCTAGAAAAATGATGCATATATGATGTTTATATTAATGTGAAATAACTTCGTGTGTTCCTGCCTGCAAAACAATGGACTACAGGCAACTACTTATTGTTAGACAGAAAATTAGCTGCTGTTGCCAGGCCTATGATCAGCAGTTCCAAAACTGAGTAGGTGACTGATAAAACACTTGACTTTTATATCTGAGAGATATAAAACTCTTTGGGGCCAGTGAAAAAGAAACACAAACAGACACATACACACATCAGGGTCTCTCTTTTCCTTATCTCTTTCTTGCCTGATGTTTACGTTTTAATCTCTTTTCTGATGTCTTCCTTTCAGTTCTTTCCTGGTGTGTTCCTTTTAACTTTCTCCAGGCATCTTTCTTCCCCTCCCCCCCCAACAGTTTTTTTGCCCCAGCAAAACTTTCCAAGCAATATAAAAATTATGTGGTTACATTCCATTTTTCAAGCGAATGTAAACTTCATTTTCAAGTGAAGTTAAAAAAAAAAATCATGATTCTTACTTCCCTGACATGATTAAATATTTTACATATTACAGGTGAAAATCAAATTATTTCCAAAAGTTCTAATACATTCATGTCTAAGAACTTTTTTGTTGTTGTTGTTGTTGTTTTGAGAAGTGTCTTTGTAGCTTTGGGGCCTGACCTGGATCTTGCTCTGCAGACAAAGTTGGCCTTGAATTCAGAGATCCACCTGTCTCTGCCTCCCAAGTACTGGGATTAAAGGTGTGTGCCTCTACCATCCAGTTTGTATCTAAGAAATTGTTTTATAGACTAAAAAAGCATAAGCAAGCAAGACACCTTTTTGCTGTCAATTCTTTTCAATGACAAATGGCATTTTTGTGTTTACAAAGAAAGGATCAATAATTTTATTTATCTCAAAATGTAACCTCATAAAAATATTTTTAAAAATCACAAATAGAGTTTTATATATGAAAAACAACCAGTCATTGCTATTTCAAATGTTAAGCAGACTTTATTGAATCATGTCAAGTAGTTGAGGGCACAATTGGATACAAAAAAATGAATCATTGCCTTTGACCACCAACCCATCTTTAGCAATAGAGACACATCAGCTACTAATAACTGGGATGCCTTTATTTTTGTTTCTTGACTTCAAAATGTCCCATACCACAGCACAGTTTTGGGCTTTTTGATTTTTCATTCTTATGCTATTGTTGAGTTTGAAAAAAGATGTTTATTGAAAATTTTCCTACATTATCACATTTTCAGAATTTTTCCTCCGTATAAACTCTATAAGATTTGCACATTACATAAAGGCTTCCACAAATTTCTCATGCTCTTAATGTTGATCTTGTATGGAGGTTCAGTGGTCTCTAGCAGAGCTTTTAATAAAGCATATGCTACAATATTGAGTATGGAAACCTTCTTCCCAGTATGACTTTTCTTAAGTATTCTTAGAAGTAAGAGAAGAGAGATACTTTGCCACATTTACTGCACTCACAATTTTCTCTCTTTTATGAATGATCTGATGTCGTTTAAGATGTGAAGCCTGTGTGTAGGATTTCTTACATTCATTACATTTGTAAGGTTTCTCTCCTGTATGAACGGTCTGATGTTGTCTCAGGTGTACAGCCTGTGTAAAGGATTTCTCACATTTACTACATCTGTAAGGTTTCTCTCCTGTATGACTTAGCTGATGCTTTTTAAGACTTGAGATGTATGAAAAGGATTTCTCACACTCACTACATTTGTATGGTTTTTCTCCTGTATGAATTCTCTGATGTTGTCCAAGAGTAGAAACATATGCAAAGGATTTTTCACAGTCACTAGATTTGATAAGTTTCTCTCCTGTATGAATTCTCTGATGTCCAAGAGTAGAGAAATAAACAATGGATTTCTCACAATTGCTAGATTTGATAAGTTTCTCTCCTGTATGAATTCTGTGATGTTCAAGAGTAGAGAAATAAACAATGGATTTCTCACAGTTGCTAGATTTGAAAACTTTCTCTACTGTATGAATTCTCTGATGTTGTCCAAGAGTAGAAATATATGCAAAGGATTTCTCACAATCGCTAGATTTGATAAGTTCCTCTCCTGTATGAATTCTCTGATGTTGTTCAAGAGTAGAAACATATGCAAAGGATTTCTCACAATTGTTAGATTTGTAAGGTTTCTCTCCTGTATGAACGGTCTGATGTTGTCTCAGGTGTACAGCCTGTGTAAAGGATTTCTCACATTTACTACATCTGTAAGGTTTCTCTCCTGTATGACTTCGCTGATGCTTTTTAAGACTCGAGATATAGGGAAAGGATTTCTCACATTCACCACATTTATATGGTTTCTCTCCTGTATGAATTCTCTGATGTTGTCCAAGAGTTGAGACATATGCAAGGGATTTCTCACAATCGCTAGATTTGATAAGTTCCTCTCCTGTATGAAGTCTCTGATGTTGTCCAAGAGTAGAAATATATGCAAAGGATTTCTCACAATCACTAGATTTGATAAGTTCCTCTCCTATATGAATGGTCTGATGTCGTTTCAGGTGTGAACCCTGTGTAAAGGATTTTCCACATTTACTACATTTGTAAGGTTTCTCTCCTGTATGACTTCGCTGATGCTTTCTAAGACTCGAGATATATGGAAAAGATTTCTCACATTCACCACATTTGTATGGTTTTTCTCCTGTATGAATTCTCTGATGTCCAAGAGTGGAGACATGTGCAATGGACTTCTCACAATCACTAGATTTGAAAGGTTTCTCTCCTGTATGGATTCTTGGATGTATGCTAAGATGGTCTTTCTGGATGAAACATTTTTCATATTCGCTGTATTTGTAAGGTCTCTCTCCATTATGGGTTTTACAAAGGTTTTTAACTTGATACAAGAAATAAAAGCACATCCCACATTCTTTACATTTGTAGGATTTCTCTGCAGAATGAATTCTCTGATGTCTACTGAGACTGGAGTAGGCTCTAAAGTACTTCCCACATTGGTGTATTTTCCCTACACTAGAGATCTGTTTCAGCATGAGTGTATGTTTAGAGTCAAATGATTCATCATAGTCTGTATTTTTCTGTAGTTCCTTTCTAGTGTGAATTCTTTGACAAATGATGGAACACAAGTTTAACCATTTCCCACAGTCTTTATATTTGTACGTTTCTTCTCCAGTGTTTCTACATTTATGATTCTTTAGGTTTGTTGATTCAATAGAGATACCCCTGTAGTTATCACATTCATATTTGTTGGCGTTCTCTGTAAGATCACTTGTATTATAAGCTGTACAATGGGAGAATTTATGGTCCTTTATGCAATTTTCATAAGACTTCTCTTGGATATTCACAGGGTAACAGACAATGTGCTTTGATCCTTGATCCAAATCTTTCATACTTTTCACATACATATGATATTTCTCTGGAAATGAGCACAAAAAGGGATTAAAAAGATAAATGCATGTTACAGATTCAAGAACTGATGTCTCCTTAAGTTCTATAAGATAAGTTATATAGCAGACTTGGAAACAGACTTCTCAGAAGAGGCAGGCCTTTTGTGTTCCATTATTGTGAAATGCATGCTCAAAAACTTATCTAATCCCAGGGCAGTGGTGGTGAACACCTTTAATCCCAGCATTTGGCAAGCAGACAAGAGTCATATCTCTGTGAGCTGGAGGCCAGCCTGGTCTACAGAGTGAGATCCAGGAAAGCCAGGACAGTTTCACAGAGAAACCCTGCCCCATCCAAAAACAAACAAACAAACAAACAAAAAAAAAAACCACAACAACAAAAACAAAATAATCTAATCTCCATCAAAATGTGAAGAATAATAGTCTTCTTATTATATAAACTGCAAACCCTGAAGAAGCTATGAGAAATACATGATTGAGCAGTAATAAATTTGAGAAAGGACCTTTTAGGAGGATCTTATATAGATGATTTCTCTATCTCCTTATTGTTTATATTTGAGAGGATCACAGTGTACATACCTGACCAGCATGAAACACACTATGTAACCCAGGCTGGCCAGGAATACACCACATCCTTTTACCTCAGCCTCTCTGTTGCTAGTATTAAAATCATGCTGCTTTGTGCTACCAGGAATAAATATAAATACAGCAACTAAAAAGTATATAAATGAAATGAACAAAAATAGCAAAATGCACATTAGAACTATTTTCCCTATTTTAAAATCTCTATTTTTGAAAATTCAGAAATGAGTGAAAGTTTAATCTGATATTAATATCAATACATTCCAAATACTAGTATACTATAATAAATTTATTTGCTCTGAATATTCAACTTTCTTTGAAGACTGATGTTTTCCTTAAATACCAGATAAAAGGGCTGTACAGATCACACTATTTAGTATTGGTTGCTTTTTCAGAGAACAAAGAATAGTGTAACAAAAAAGGAGAAAAAAGTTATGTTTATTAACCTAAGTTCTCTCATATATAGTAGTCTCTGGGTTGTTTGGAGAGTTTACAAAAATAAAAAGAAGACAAACACCAAGGTTGAGGCAGATATTCCTCATGAAGAGACTTCTTACCAACAAAAACTAGATTGCGGTAATTCTCCAACATCACATCAATGTACAAGGCCTTTGAAGCAGACTCCAGACATTCCCACTCCTCCTGGGAAAAGTCCACAGCCACATCCCCGAATGTCAACAGATCCTGTAATGGAAAATTATCCATTTACCATGTGCTGCTGAAGAAAATGTTTTCCTAGTAAAAAGAGGCCCAAGGAAACAGATTGTTTTCTGATATAAATGACCCATGACCATTAGTCCAAGATAAATGTTTTCTAGTGTTGGTGAAAAAATGGTTCATCAGATAAGAGTACTGGTTATTACCCTCAACAAAATATCTTTCTTTATGAAACTTCCTGTGCTCATGGTGTCTCTTGAATCCCTAAGTAAGACAGAATCCAAAGCTCTTCTGTGCTCTACAGGCAGAAGGAACACACAGTATTAATGCATACATTCAAATAGACACACATCCATAAAACAAAAATGAAAATTAATTATAAAAAGAAATAATCTAGAATACCTTTTATTGTATTTTCTATATCTCACCAACATTATTATTTTAGGAAATAAAAGAAATGCATTTGCAGAATAGACCCAGGAATTTATCACTATCAACAGTATGTTGATATATCAAATAAGGTGTCTCATCTCAGATGGGCAAGTTTCAAGAAACAAAATCATGCTTCCAAATATAACAACTCTCTTTTTTTGCTCAAATATGGACCCTGGATCATTCTTCTTGATATCTGGGTATCACCTAACTCTATTATAACATGCTTAGTTGGGATGCTGATGTGTTTGTTCAATGATATACCATTGTAAAACAAACAGGTAGAATGTGGATGGCACAACTTATTGATGAATTGAAAAGTCAGATAATTTTGGGTTTTTGTTTTAAACTATAAGGAGTGCAACAACACTTCTTACATCCAAAGTACTAAACAATGTAATCAAATATTCTTTGACATGTTTTGAGAATGAGATAAATATGAAAATCAATATTACATGTTAGAATTTTCAAACTTCTCTAAAAGTAAATATATGAGTACTGTGAGTACTGGTAAATAACAATACCTCAAATCCATGTGGTTTTATTATACAACCGATATAAAAATTTATGTAAAGAGCCTATTTGACAATACATTCAGATGAAGTAAAAAGATGATCTGTGCCCACAACAAATGTATTAAGTTTTTTTGAGAATAATATTAACTCTTTATTGATTTTGAATATATTATGCTCATGAGTATTACTTAGCTGAAAATTTGAATCTTGTAATTTCACTGTTCTTCAGTATCTGAGCTCAAACATCTAAGAGGATTTTACCCTGAATAGAGAAGTATCCCTTATGATTCCTTTGTTCTTCAGAAATTAAAAGAAGCAAGGTTGATAACTGGTTCCTCACAAAAACTTCAACATGAATGAAAACCTGGGGTCTGGGAAGATGGCTCAGTGGCAAAAAGCACATGGTTTTCTTGCAGAGAAAGCAAGTTTGACTCTCACTACACACAGGACAGGTGAATAATGTTCCTGACTCTACTACTGGATGATTGTGGACAAACTCAGAGCTTCATGGCCATTATGCAGACATGTGGCATACATAAACCATGCAGATAAACACTCATATACTTAAATAATATGGATATTTTTAAAGAAAGAAATGGAAATCTGTCCATATCAACTTTTCTTCAAAATCTCTATCTATACAATATAGTAGCTTCAGCGAAAGGAAAAACATAAGTTGGGGCAGCTACTTCTTCCAAAAGTAGAGAAGAGAACAAAGTCTTTAAGGAGAGAAACTCATACACACTTGAAAATTGAGGGCTTATGCAAAGCAACAAGTCAATACTCTCCAGAAAATTCTTTCTCATACAGTCTACATATGTAAGATAGTGGTCAGCCAGACAGTGCTTTCACAATGGTGTCCTGTTCAAAAAATGAACAAAATACAAGGGAAAGTACTTTCCTGCCTACTGAGAACTTACCACTCAACACTGGATTCAAAAGAAAGGTATCAGTAGGAACTAAACTGAGACAAACAGATTTCAGGAGTCAAAACAAAACAAAACCAGACAAACAAAAAACCAAAGGAATATCATCACTGTGTGACACCAAATGCCAAAGAGAGAAATCCGTATATTGTAATATGCATCTCCTCGCTGATATATCAGTTTCATGACAAGATCAAGCCACATACTCTGAGCTCTCTATCATGCTGAAATGATATTTAGGACAAGAGAGTGAGTCTCTTCTAATGCTTGTTTTCCATATTAGTGATACCCGGGGAAAAAAAATTACATAAATTTGGATGGTAACTTTCAAAGGCCTGTTTCTCAAATATGACCATCCCTGAAATATAACCCATACAGGGTATAAGGCCTTCTCTCTTCAGAAAAACACAAAACAAAACAAAAAGCCAAGTATATTCTTTGTAGGATCTAGGCATCAATATTATTTCTTGGATCATGATTTACAATGGGATCTCTTTCAGAATTGCAGGTTTTAAGTCCATGAAAATTACATCTTATTTATAAGGGAAGTAAAAGAAAGACAATAATAAGTACTTTAGATGACATTACCTGAGGCAGAGAATTAGCAGCTTGCATGGTTTCAATATAAAAGCAATTTTCAAAGTAATGTGGATAGGACACTGACCTGGGGCACATTCACTGGAGAAACAGCCATTCTCTCTGATAACTCTTCTTTAAGTTTCTGTTGCAGGAACAAAGACCAGAATTCTTGTTGACATTTCACATCAAGGTGTCAAAACACAAACCTAAAATTAACAGGACTCTGTTATGTGAAATGACAAACCACATAAAAAGTCCCAAACACCACAATGATATCAGACATATTAAGTGTGCTGAGAGAAAATAACAGTCAATCACTTCAGTTCACCAAGAAACACTGGTTCTAAAAATTCATGGAGAAGGAAGTACACTTGAAGAACATTATGAAATAACAGAGGTCATTCACTCAAGCAGTAGAGCAGAACATACTTAAGAAGCAAAGTATATGTAAAAATCTCAGAGAGAAATTATCCATGAGAATACGGGAAATAGGATATTTTACATGAAGAACTATTGAACAGAGGGGAGCTAGGGAGTAATGAATCATGTCTAACACATCAAACCAAAAGTCCACTATTTCCAACTATAGGGAAGAAAAATACTTCCAGCAATTCAACCAACCAGAATATATTTAAAAGTATATAACAAAGAAAAAATACACAAAGTTCATAGAGACAAATGATGATAAAAATCTTTGTAGAAATGGAAATTTCTACATATCATAAGGCACAGTTCAGCAATATTTTATGATAAACTCCTAAAGTATCTAGAAAGAAACGGAACACAGCTCAATATAATAAAGGGACCCCATGTCACACTAGTCCAACAGTACAGAATAGAGGAAAAAAAAAAAACATTAGAAAAAAACAGCAAGGGGACATTTGCACACAGGTCTTATTTCAGCCAGTGACAGGAGTGACCTAGAGAAATTTGAACAGGAAAAGAGATATTAAAGATATTGGTAGTACATGAAAGGCATCAAACACCTTTGTAATAATGATGTGATCACACAAAGAGCTTACAACAGTCATCAAAGAAAGCTCACCAAATTGACAAATGCTTTAAGTATTTTTGAAAACTAAAAACACAAGGCCCTAGTTGTCTGGGGTATGTTGCATGCCCTATCCCTGCCCACAGGAGCCTTAAGAGACCTGGAGGCAGTCTCTCCATACCCATCCCATCCCACTACTTCTGCCTTCATTGGAGCCTTGGCCACACCCCCACAGGGAGAGGTGAGTGCCAGGGTACCCCGATAGAGGCTCCTAACCTCTAGGTCCAAATTACCCTGGGCACATAGTGCTCCCAACCCCTGCCCACTGAAGCTCAAGAGATCTGGGGCAGCCTCCCCACAGCCCAAACAATCCAGCACTGCAAGTGCTGCTATCATATCCTTTGCCCTGCCTCTACAGAGAGAGGAAGGGCAAACACCCAAGCCACAAGGCCCACCTACACCAACTGGAATGAAGAGAGACCCCCTGAATCATAGGCCCCACCTGTAGTCACTGGAGGAAGAGATGGGTAGACAACAGCATAAGAATAAACTCAACAACATAAAGAGTAATTTAATACACCACTAGAGACTAGGTATTCTTCTACACCAAGACCTGAATATTCCAACTCAGATGAAGCAGAAGCAAATGACCTTAAAAATAACTTTATGAAAATGATAGAGGCCCTTAAAGAGTAAATAAGAAACTCCCTTAAAGAAACAGAGGAAAAGACAAACAAACAAAATAGAAGAAATGGAGCAAAAGGCAAATAAAAAAAAAAGTGGAAGAAATCAACAAATCCCTTAATGAAAGCCAGGAAAGTGAAGAAAAAACAACCAAACAGGTAAAGGAAACAAATCAACGAGTTCAAGATATGAAAACTGAAATAGAGGCAATAAAGAAAACACAAACTGAGGGAATGCTGGAAATAGAAAATCTGGCTAAACGATCAGGAACTACAGATGCAATCATAAGCAACAGAATACAAAATATGGAAGAGAGATTCTCAGGTGTTGAAGATACAATAGATGAAATAGATTCATTGACCAAAGAAAATGTTAAATCCAATAAATACTTAACAAAAATGCCCTGGAAATCTGGGACACAATGAAAAGTAACAGGGAGAGAAGAAAGTGAAGAAGTCCAGCTCAAATGTGCAAAAAACATATTCAACAAAATCAAAGAAAGCCTTCCCAACCTAAAGAAGGACATGCCAATGAAAGTTCAAGAAGCTTACAAAACAGCTAAACAAACATATTGCGGTAAATAAGGGTCAGGATAAACAAATAGGCCGAATAGATGTTTATTCAGGGAGAAATAACTTACAACCTAGACAGATGAACACCAGGAAATTCAACCCGATCCTCTCCTGTCCGAGTCACGCCAGAAAGAGAGCGCCTTCCTGGCCCCCTCCGACCCTCCTTCCTCAGGTCACCTCCGCCCATCGCTCCACCCCCCAATGGGCGTGGTCAGTGCTACAGAAGGACTACCTCACTACAATTCCCCTTTTAGTCTAAAGAAAAGATTTAGGCTTAATACAAAACTATATACAAAACAGTGAATAACAAGTGTGCTCTAAGAAAAGGAAAATCGAGAACAAAATGACCTACATATCTAGTCCTAGGGTGAGGGCATAATGGAGTTTACAATAGGAAATCAGGTAAAACAAAGCACGAGATGGATTGACTGTATAGGACCAGAAGGACAGAGAGGGAGGTTGAGACCATATGTGGCTGATGTAGTGATAAATTTATGGGGTCGTGATCTATTACAGCAATGGAATACACAGATTAACATTCCTCCTGTATTAGATAGGAACCATAGACGACCTCATGATTGTGGAAAGAATACTGTTAAGTACTATACAAGACAGAGACCAAATATCCAGGCAGTACAAAAACAAAATACAAATGCTGAACAAACAGAGGAACCAAAAGCCCTACCTTTAAAATGGCTAACAGAGGAACCTGTCTGGGTAGGACAATGGCCTATGACCTCTGAGAAGTTAGAAGCTTTAGAAAGCCTGGTTCAGGAACAGCTAAATGCTGGACATATTGAGGAATCAACCAGCCCTTGGAATTCTCCTGTATTTGTGATCAAAAAGAAATCTGGTAAATGGAGAATGCTTACAGACCTGAGAGCCATCAATAAAGTTATCCAGCCAATGGGCTCTCTACAGCCTGGAATGCCCTTGCCTTCTTTGATACCCAAAGAATGGCCTATTATAGTTATTGATTTAAAGGATTGCTTCTTCACTATACCTTTACAAGAACAAGACAAAGAGAAATTTGCCTTCACGGTACCTAATTATAACAATTCTCAACCGGTGAAGAGATATCAATGGAAGGTTTTGCCACAGGGAATGCTAAATAGCCCCACCCTGTGCCAATATTTCGTACAAAAGCCGTTAGAAATAATTCGTAAACAGTTTCCACAATCCATAATCTATCATTACATGGATGATATATTGTTAGCTGACTCTAAAGGAGAAATATTAGAAAAAATGTTTGAGAAAGTAAAGGAAGTTTTACCTCGCTGGGGATTACAAATTGCACCTGAAAAAATACAAAAAGGAGAGTCTATCAACTACTTAGGATATAAAATAGGTCTACAGAAAATTAGACCACAAAAAGTACAGATCAGAAGAGATCGCTACCAGACTCTTAATGATCTTCAAAAATTACTAGGAGAGATTTCTCAACTGCAAACCATAATTGGAGTAGAAGGGCATGATTTGAAAAACTTGAAAATGGCCCTAAAAGGAGATAAGGACTTGAATAGTCCACGAATACTATCAGCTGAAGCTGAGAAGGAATTAGAATGGGTAGAAAAGAGGATACTAGAAGCACATGTGGACCGTGTGGATCCAAACCTAGACTGTATTCTGGTTATATTACCATCTAGAGAATATCCTTCAGGGATTTTGATGCAGAGAGAAGATATCATATTAGAATGGATATTCCTACCACATAAACAGAATAAAAAACTGAAAACATATATAGAAAAGATCTCTGACTTGATTATAAAAGGTAAATTAAGACTTCGTCAGCTAATAGGAAGGGACCCAGCAGAAATTATAGTACCTTTAACTAATGAGGAAATTTCTTCCTTATGGAAAGATAACGAATATTGGCAGAGAGCTTGCAGTAACTTTTTGGGAACAATTAGCAACAACTATCCCAAAACTGAGAGAATCAAATTCATAAAGAAAACGATTTGGATTCTTCCACGCATTGTAAGAAAAACACCTATTTCTGGAGTTCATACATTCTACACTGATGCAAATAAATCAGGTAAGGCAGGATATAAATCAGGAAATATTAGTAAAGTGGTTCAAAGCCCTTACAATTCTGTACAAAAGGCAGAATTGTATGCCATTCTCATGGTACTTATGGATTTTAAAGAACCCCTCAATATAGTTACTGACTCTCAATACGCAGAGAGAGTCGTTTTACACATTGAGACTGCAGAATTTATTCCTGACAATACAGAATTAACTTCATTGTTTATACAGTTACAAGATACTATCAGAAAGAGGACTCATCCTATATATATAACACACATCAGATCCCACTTCTGACACCAGATATTGCGGTAAATAAGGGTCAGGATAAACAAATAGGCCGAATAGATGTTTATTCAGGGAGAAATAACTTACAACCTAGACAGATGAACACCAGGAAATTCAACCCGATCCTCTCCTGTCCGAGTCACGCCAGAAAGAGAGCGCCTTCCTGGCCCCCTCCGACCTCCTTCCTCAGGTCACCTCCGCCCATCGCTCCACCCCCCAATGGGCGTGGTCAGTGCTACAGAAGGACTACCTCACTACACAAACACAAATCAAACAGGATAAAGAATATTAAGAGCAGTGAACGAAAAAGGCCAAGTATCATATAAAGGCAGACCTATGAGGATTACACCTGATTTCTCAATGGAAAACCTGAAAGCCAGAGGATCCTGCATAGGTGTTCCATAGACACTAAGAGACCATGAATGCCAGCCCAGACTGCTGTACCTAGGAAAGCTTTCAATCACTATAGATGGAGAAAACAAGATATTCCTAACAAAACCAGATATAAACAATACATGTTCATAAGTCCAGCCATACAGAAAGTACTGGAATGAAAACTTCAATCCAAGAAAGTTACCTACACCCACAAAAGCATAGGTAATAGACAATCCAAAATTACCAACCCCCCCCAAAAAAAGGAAATACA